AGCTGACAATGAATGAAAATGATGATTTTCTTACTCACGTTGGCACAGTCAACCGAGAATGTGAGAGATTTCGACTCAGGTCCTTAACAGATGATCAATTCAAAGCCTTGATTCTCATATGCAGCCTTCAATCTCCTCTTTTCACAGATATCCGAACTCGACTGCTTAATCAGCTAGAACAAAATCCTAAGTTAATATTACATGACATAGCTGATGAATATCAACGGCTGATTAATTTGCAGAAAGACACACACCTGGTCGAATCAACACCTTCGAGAAGCTCTGATATTCGTGCATTACGAAAGAGCAAAAATCTCTCATCATCCAGTCCTGACCCACCTTCTCCTAATGTTCCGCGTAAATCTACACATACTCGTCCAACTTCTCAAATTACTGCAAAGAAGACCCCACTATCACCATTCTGGCATTGTGGCGCGTGGCATTTGTTAAGTCTTGTCCGTACAAAAATCATCGTTGCAGCAAGTGCAAAATCATCGGTCATAAAAATGGATTTTGCCAGCCACGCAAACTCAGATATCATAATCCAGCGAAACCTCGACAAACTGTTGGTCCTAAGTCCCCAAAAAAGTCAATGAGTCTAGTGGCAACCTGTCAAGTCACAACACCAGGTATGTGGAAATATTTCGATCTTCAGATGAATGGTCATGATACACGTCTGCAGCTGTTATATCAGAGAAACTTTGGAATGATATTGGCAGACCATCTATCACAAAGAATACTGAAGGCATTTAATGTGTTATTATACAGAAGAGTGTTAATGATGATGAATTTTTAGATCCTATGATATTTAGTCAAGCCAATGAACCATGGAGGATCAGGCCCTGTAATGGCATACAAAATTCAAATTATTTAATGCGTTTTAATCATTTTATTTATATTTATCAGATGAATTTGAAGATCTACAGCCGAAAATCAACAAGTTTACAGAAGAGGCAGCGAACAAAGGACTACAAGTGGACATAGAAGAGACAGAGATGAAGAAGATTTCTAACCGGCAACAACATGCATCAGTCATCTTCAGCGAGAGAAACCTAGGTGATGTCATATCTTCTACTTATCTAGGCTGCCAGAAAAGATCAGAAACAGGGATCTCTGGGAGCGAACCAACTCAGCAGGAACCGATTGTGAAACAAATAGGCTGGAAGAAATGGAGATGGATTGGCTGGCCATACTCTGAGGAAACCATCAAGTGACATCACTAGACAAGCCATTGCTCGAGTGGAACCCAAAAGGGAAGCGGCGAGTTGGTCGTCAGTGCGTGGGTGACTTGGAGGAGGTCATGTGAAGAGGAGATGAAAGCGTGTGGGCAGACTTGGATCGGGTGAAAAAGTTATCAGAAAACCGAAGGCAATGGAGACGCGCAACTGAAGCCCTATGTTCCTCTAGGAATTAAAGGATAAAATAATAATAATATATAAATAAAAATGAGACAAATTCTCTGCCTCGTCCTAAAGTTGTGAGCGTTCTTCTTTCAGTGTATCTGTCCTTGTTAAACGCGAATTCATTTTCCTTCTGTTGGTATTTTCCATGAAAATTATTGACCTCCTCCTCCATTTAGTCGTGCCTACTTTGCTTAGCTTTGACCTTCAGTTATTTACATTTTCTTAATCTATTTCGATTCATATATAATATAAACTGGTATATCAATTCCACATTTTAACCTTTTGAGAAAGTTGTAAAAGTCTTAAAAACATATGCACTTGGTAAAATACATTTGAATCTATGCGTGAAAATAACTGTATAATTACGAAAATGATGTCGTTACAAGGAGAATATTCTAGACTGAAACACTTTATTTTCGCATCTTAATAAGTATTTTTACAACATATGTAGCCAAAAGTATATAGTTTCATCTTAGGGTATATAGAATTGCAATTTTAGTAAATATCAATGTTCTTTTATGTTGAGTAAACTCAAACCTTTTGTTAAGAGGATTTCATCATGAGCTGACATTAGTTAGAGAACCATTGGAATACCTGGGAGTACTGGAAAGCTAGCTGTTTCGTCCTAGTTTGGGACTTCGGCGAGTATTTGTCCTCACACCCGACCAACTGCACCCTACTGGTCACGACTTCTCACTAGAACCCCAGGTAACTACCTACCTGAATAGGGCCAGTCGCTAGTGAGCATCTCATTGATATTCAACTGTTGGTTTGTAGGGTGGATGCGTACTGATGAAGAGTCCCAAACTAGGATGAAACAGTTGTCCAGTACCCTCAGGTTTTTAATGGTTCTCTAACTAATGTCAGCTCATGATGAAATCCTGTAAACCAATCAAATCCCTACAAACCAACACTTGAATATCAAACCTTTTGTGTTTTTATTTCACTAAGAGTGCTTATTATGACCTTAATCAATTTTGAGACTTGCTTTATTTGGAAATCATTTCCACAATCCGAATTTGGGTACGTTCTCCTAGTTCCAGTATCTTTGATTGCTTACTCAGACATTCTTCACACATGAATTTTCATTCAAGAGGGTGCGTTAGTGACACAGAGGTAGAATGCTGTCGACTTCGCACGTGGTATGGGGTTCGATCCCCTGCCGACGCCCTATTTTACATCGCTAAACCAGTAATAAGACTAATAAAGGCGGAAGGTTTGGCATGAGGATAGCAACTTCATCTCATAAAAATTAACACCACTGCTACTGAAACTTCAAGTCTCTGGCTTGAAGCCCTATGTTCCACTGGAAATGTAAAGAAATTTAAAAAGAAATTGGTTAGAGGCAAAAAGTCAAAACTATATCTCCTGAGGCCATTTTTCTGGCATTTTAGAAATTGTACTCTTCTCATTTAAATTTAAGTCCAGTTTTTTATTATTTCAATAAGTTATGTATTTTCTTGCAAATTAAGGACATACACTTTCATTCTTATTTTTCACTCATTTGTACAAAAGTCGTTGACTTCTGTACTTATCTAGATGCCTGGTTCTATTTTATATAAGCATGCTTACTTAATCAGGGTGATTTAAATAAATGCGTGTTTGCTAAAATTCTAACTAAAAACCTTGAGTGAAACACAGGTAACTTGTTTATTCTGTTACTTATGACACAAGTTTTTATTAAATGATAGGTAGAGCATTACAATGATACCCACCATCAAATAATATCAAATAAAATCATTTTCAAACAGTTTATTCCGTTGGTGCATCACCTATGGAAAAAGGACTTAATAAATTTATATAGCTATAGAGTATGTTGCTAAAGAAAATCTGATGTGACGAGTACAATTATGGAAATTTCGGTTGGTTTTCAAACAGCGTGTTGATATTCTTGTTAAATATCATCTGTATTGCTGGAAAATTATCTTCAGAATATTATTGAGAAAAAACAATACGAGTTGATTGAGTAGTGCCTACATTTAAAATTTAGTTGGCTAAACCTCTGGCCTGCTGAGAAATTTTTATCATAGATGTCATGGTGTCTACAGTCATCTACAAATCGTCGTTTAAGTTCAATATCTATGAACCAAAGTTTTCTTATTTATTCTAATTATCCCAAAATCGGTAAATAATATACTTTAGTAAACGACAGACCAAATGTGCGTTGGTGGCACAGTGGTTAGGACTCTCGCCGACCATGCACATGGTCCGGGTTCGATTCCCTGCCGACGCACACCCGATATCTATGGTCGGCCTGCAAAATTTGGGCTACCGATATCACATGCTGAAAATGCCATACTTGTACCAAAAATACAGTGTGGAATCAAGCTGTAATCAAAATAAAATAAAAATAAATAAAACTATTACTCTTATCCAATAGTTATATTATAATAAGCGTGACAAGAAATTTGGCTCTATGTTGCACTTGCATCAAAGCTGATGCTATTTCATATTGTTTTTATAATTTATTTATTTCTCAATCCAATAACCACTCCATAGATCACTCATCTGTGATCATCTTATTATGCTTTTCGAAATGGTTATTTATTTCAGAAGAAACACTTAACACTTAGTAGTTTATCATCTGAAGTGTTTACAAGCTGAATGAACAGAATACATCCCACTGAAGTGTGCAACATTAAAATCACTGATCGAACTGTATGATTTAGTAGTTAGGAAAGTAATTACACTACAACAATAATAATAAGCTCAAAACAATAAAGATTGTAGGAAAGTTGAGTGAATTTTCAGGACATTGAGGAGGTTCTATACAGTTCATCACTTAAGATTATTTTTGGTACAGAAATCATACCAAAACAGAAGGATTTGCATATCCGAAGACAAAGTTTCTCGATGCATTCGGAAAATCCTGTAAGTCTGTCTTTATGCGAAAATGACAGAAGGTGCGTCGGTGGCACACTGGTTAGGACTCTCGCCGACCATGCACATGGTCCGAGGTTCGATCCCCTGCCGACGAACACCTGATATCTATGGTCGGCCTGCAAAATTTGGGCTACCGATATCCATGCTGAGAATTCCACACTTGTACTAACAATACGGTGTGGAATCAAGCTGTAATAAAAGATAAATAAATAAAATAATGTTGAAAAATATTCCCATTGGCTTAGAATTTTTCAGGAGAAGCCTTCTGCATATTTGCCTTCTCCTTAAGGTTCTGGACAGAACTAGTATTCTAGAGCAAAAGCCTTTAGTTTTCTCAGATAAGTTGTAGTTTTATATGCATGAGTGTGTTATGACCGCTAAACTACTGTAACCAGTAAAGTGTCTGAGGAAATTGCATCGTGTAAGTTCACAAACTTATACACAAATACTGATTACTGACCAAAAAAAGTCTACAAAATTCTAACCGTCTTGTGCAGACCGGCTAAATAAAATAATAAAGAAAACAAAGTTATATGAGTAGAACAATTATTCGGATTTAAGACCTGGTAGTGGATTTTAAAAATGGAGAATATGAAACAATACAAAGTAATATTGAGCAAAAATAGTAGGCGTTTGTAAAGGATAAAAATGATTGGTTGTCTGTCAGTCAACTAAAAAAGGATGATTAACATGGGGTAAGTTTTGATTGGTTCACTTTGTGGAGCAGCCATTTGACCCACTTATAAAAATAATATTGCCATTCACTTACTCTTCAAACTTTTTAGAAAAGGGGATCATGAGGTAGGTCTCACTATTGTTTATTCTCATTACAACCGTTTCACAAGTTAAATATCATCTAAACAGCAGCGTTTTATTATTTCATTTGGTACAATTGCGCGAATAATGAATACTTAAACGAATGTAAGACAGTAAATGTGATACGTTTTTTTTTGCCAAATTTGTGACATTCATGTCTGACTGAGATTCGACAATAAATTCTGATACATACAGTGAGACTGCATCAGTCAGGAAATCTTATCAAAGCAACGCGAATCATAGAGGTTCATTTTAATTTTGTGACCATCTTATTCAGTTCATACACATTTTTAATTATTGCACCTAGTTTGTCACTAAAGTTTTAGATCAGCTATATAATGCAAATGTTATTGTATTATTATTAAATTTTTCAAATTGGCAGTGGAGTTTATTTAATCGATTTTCCCAGAAAAATTATTGTAGGATGTTTTTCTTTTAATTTGACTATTTTTTATAACAGCAAGTAGTTCATTCCTTACTGAACTGTGTTTAGTAGGCATGACTTACCACTTGTTTTTACTGAAGATGATATAGTTGAAACCTCTAAATTTCACGAGCATTTTTAAGGGAACTTAAACTGAGATTTCAAAGATAGTATATATTAAATTTAATAGAAAGGATATCTTTTCATCTTTTATATGAACTCACCACCTACCTATTGAGGATTAAAAAGTGTGTGATGAGAAATAAACTCGTTTTCGTCAGTCTGGAGTACATTTGGTTAAAAAATTTGCAGAGCTGTGGCAGTTATTAAGTTCTGAAGATTCAAATACTTTGTAATGAAGAGCCTGTAACTGGGTGTAAAAATGAATACAAATCGTGGTGAGACGACGGAAGTAGTAGCATAATTCACACTGCCTAAAGCGATTATCTCAATTTCGGTGTCTCTCAGTAGGTTAGGTTAACGTCAGATCGTTGGTATCGATGTACAAATATTTACATTTACGATTAAGTTACTTAGCTGCAGTGAATTTAATAACTTATATTTAGTTCAGAACTCGAGTCCAGGTATAAAGACAAAACAGGGACATGCTAAAATAAGAATTCTAAGCGTTTTGTGAAAAAATGCTGTAATAACTTAAGCTATTTGCAATAAAGTAGATTACATAAAACCGCGACAATACATAATTACCTTTTAACTAGATATGTCCTATTCTATAGTGAAAATGGCTCTAATTCAATTCAAATTTTGGGTTGTGTAGAGAATTGTAATAGTTTAAGCGTCAAATGAAACAACTGTCTAGTATTTTTTGATTTTCAAAGATTCTCTAAATGATGGCAGCTCATGATCAAAATCTTATTAGTTGAGATTTCAGACAGTCCTTCTGTCATAAATCATTTATTTTTTGAAGTAGAGAAAATACGTTTAAATAAGACCATAAACTGCAATATTTTAATACCTCTCATTCCCACTTAGTCTTAAATGAGTGGTCTCGTTAGACGAATACTTCTTTGGAATAAACTAGAAATTGCGAATGCCTACAACACATCCAAAAAGAGAGTTTCAGTCATCCGCACAGTTTTAAAGGCTTTTCGTATATATGCCTCAACAACTTATGTTGTGTTCAGGAAGTTAACTTTTGTTTCAGTCGACTCTGAACACGCATTTCACCCAGTTTAAAAATCTAACTTCAGATGATAAAAGCTTGCAACATCCATTTTATGTGATCTAACTAACACACGGTTAGATGCTCACAAAAATGGCAAAATATCCAGTTTCGGGCAAAAAGTCACCCGATAAGTCGGACTTCAAGTAATATTACCGGTTGTTATGTGAAATTACTTCAGATGTTATTTCCATTGTATTCCTGTGTAGTTACCATTGCATTGCCTTGTGTTAAATTGGCTGAGACGCTTTTCTCCTACTGTCAATAAAAGAAATGCAATTTCACACAATCTCACTTCATTAGCATAGTTGTTGACGGAAAGTGTCCATCGGTTAGAAATTTTTCATAACCATTTGAGAATGTCTGATTATGGATGAGGACTGATGAGTTTGTTAGCCCAAGAGCCTGCAGAATTATTTGTGATAGATTGAAGCCTTTCTTTCTTTTTTCGCTCTTAACCAGTATGAATTAAAATAAAAATGAAAAAGCTGTTGGTTCACTAAAAATAAGTAATTATATGAAAATGATATATGCTTTTTAGAAATAAGTTTCTAAGAGACTGAAATCAGTATCTTTTTTGATACATGAAATAAACACTGTGATGGCATGAAAATAGGAAACAAATAGTTTTCGTATTACCGCTCTTATGCACAGGTGTTCTGAATATCACACGTGAAGGTGAGCAGTAATTCTCAGGTATTTTCATCTATCGGAACATTTCCAAGAGGAATATATTTAGGCATATTCTGTTTCCAGAGGGGATTGTATTATGCATAACACATGTACAACGAGAATAAAATGAGGAGAATCACTGTTTCTGAGAGTAGCTTGCGTAACAACCAAAAATGTGCTGAAGGTGGTGTGGTTTTTCTCGTAGCTCCCCCCGTATCCTACAACAGACGATCATAAATTCTTATGTTAAATGTTGGTTTTATGTTTACGTTTTATACGTTAAGAGTTTCTTTGCTACGGTAAAGTGTTACCTTTTTATTTAGTTAGTCGTCCTAGAGTCTTCTATCTGTTTGTAAAGCATACAAAAATACTTGTGACTCAATTTTTAAAAATTTACCAATGCCAATTGGTACTAATTAAATGATCAGTGGAAACTAAGTATCACTGAGTTTCTCCAATATTTCATTTAAAGGTTATTCAGTTGTCTCATAAGAAACAAAATTTTTAACACAGAGAAGAAAAAATTTGAGGAATGATACCATTTACTGAATTCAAATAAAAAAGTCGAACAAGAAATACTTAGTTCTTTTACTCGGATTTCAGCTTGATGTTGAGGAGGAGAATGACATCTAAAAGACTGAATTTTGGTTTTTAACACCGAAACGTTGTTATAAAGACAGCAAGACAGATTATTATACTTTCTATATGTTAAATCTTTGTATGAGTACAAATGGCCTGAAATTAATACAGTTTTAAGTTATCTGTAGAAAAGTTGACAAAATTTTACTTCCATGACATTTATTCCTAAAATTATCAATGATTTTTTTTCCTAATGACCAAAAGTTTTCTTCAGTCAAAGAAGCATTGTGTTTATTTACAGCCTAGGCTAGTAATAACCTATTGTTAGGATTTCTTCAAAAGACCTGAATAGTTAGTTATATGCGCTATTTTTCAAGTCTTTTATGGAGGAAAAGTATAGTCAAACTAACATTGTCTTACCGTTTTGTAATAACATGCCATAAAAGCGATTTGCTCAGAACATTACTTGCTCAAAGTCAAAATGTTACAATCGTTGATTCACTTTTATAATTGTATATAAGACAACGAGAATCATCCATATCAATCTTGAGATATTGCTTATCAAACTATAGAAGGTTGTGTCACTTTTTTGTCATTGAAAGCATTGTTGGTGCTAGCATTGGATGACACACGAATACCAATAAAACTTTATTTATCACTTGAGTAGCGTGTCAGATCAGCAAAAATTCATAAACAAGGAGATGGTAACTCATAAAAAACTGAAAAGCCTGCATCACTGCGTTCGCCTGCATATAATCGTTCTAGCAAACTGATAATTTGGAGAACGTAAACAAAACAGTCTCGTTGTTTATTTCAATTTTTTTTCAACGTTTAGAGCTCATAATCATGATTTGCATGCAATATCATCAAAAGAAATATGCGTTCACATTTGTAGAACTCAAAAAAACGAAGTAAATAAATTAATAATTAGATCACTTAAATTAAGACGCATATAAAGGAAGAATAAGTTTTCAAAAAGAAACAAGCGGAACACATACTTTCAAAACTTTTTAGTTAGTTTATAATGATAGATTATTGCCCTTATCCTTACTTCTTGTAGGAAAACATTTTATTCGCGGAATGAATTAATATGGTGTTGAGATTACTGTCTTATGTATTCATGTTACTTAGCAGAAGCTTTATTATACTCAACAGTGTTCAACAAAAGTTTATAACACATTTTAGGTTGAGCTTACAGAAAAGCATTTTCGAATTTTTAATAATCTTTTCTTCGCTATTACCGCTTTTTAATGAACCAGTGCATTGAAATTTGAAATTGTATATTGGTTTTAAAAAAGATCATAATAACTGATAATATTCATTTTTATTCAGGGTTTTCAAATTATTGATTACATCGTTTGAGGAGCACGGAACATCATGGACATTGAAAAAATTGTCGCCATGAATTACAGAGAAATACTAACTACTACACAGAACAGAGAAATATGTGATAGTATTAAACCTACACTGCCATCAAGCCTAAATAATGTTGAACGCTATCTAGATAAAGTTACTGATCCAATTGATTTGCTTTAGATCCGCAATGTGCCATTTCATAATATTGTTCTTCAACGTTGGTATTTGCTAAGCAGATATAAGATACTGATAACTGAACCTACCTTTGACATTATTATCTTATGAGTGAAATAATGAAAATGTTAGTTAAAGGTTGAAATAAGTTAGTAAACAAAACTCGGATTTTGCATTGCTGAATTAAAACACCTCTTCATCGAATTGGTTAGTCACTTATAAGGGAGTATTTAACACGTTTTTTCCTTCACTTTCCCAGTGGAACATAGGGCTTCAAGCTAGAGGCTTGAAGTTTCTGTAGCAGTCTTCATTTTTACAGGATGGGGTTGCTAGCCTCATGCCCAACCTTCCGTCTTTACCAGTCTCACTACTGGCTTAGCGAGGTAAAGGAGTGCGTCTGTGGTCGGGAACCGAACCCCGGACCATGTGAATGGTCGGCGAGCGTCCTAACCACTGTGCCACCGAGTATTTAACACACTTCTGACTTATTGAACTCTGGATAGGTTCCTCCTAATAATGTAACTGATACTATGCAATCATAAATATTGTATTCGTAAAAGTCAAATACTGATAGGCTAATGCACAATAACTATCATC